CCTACCGCAGGCTATCACCTTACCTATACATGGTATTACGTTACATAAAGAACGAGACAGTGAAACGATTGATTATCATGACTGAAAATTACTAGTACTCAAAAATAACGATGGCATTTCTAAGCGCTCTGCAATCACTGGTAAAGAAGAGCATGCCTAAAGTGTCACGATGGAGGAGGACGCTGTAGATTGAGTGAATGCTTACGAAATTGAGCCTTTCATCCTTATGATTTATATTGTTTGTGCAAATAAAACATACATCTTCCTGTGCACCTTTCATACATTATTGTCGCTCACGATTCCACATGAAGTCTGTCATCAAGGCGATTCACATAACACAACGCATTCAGTATTATAGTTCGCGTTCAGTCAATGTAGGAGCGAAAACAACGGTTTGGGGAGTGCTTCACTGTGTACAGACCTTTATGAAATGCTGTTTAGACAGTATGTTAAGCGTCTTTATAGTAGAGTTTTCTCCTGCAGTTGCCTGTTCAGGTTGGGTTTTGACCTAACGCCAGTAGGTGAAGACATGCATTGTTGGGAGCAAATAAGAGCCAGCACATCGTTACGAGATCACCGCACAGCCATCCGTAGTTGGCACAGTATAATCCTAGCGCCTTCAGTCATGTATGATGGAAAGTGATGCACTTCCAGCATACATTGTTTTCCAAATATTTGAGCTTTCTCATGAGTAATGGGGGATCTGGGGATAAGATGTAGTTCTTGCAGTCACATCTCATTCAGCCCGACTCTTACGCGTTTGGAAAAGCGTCAGAAGGCTATTTCAACCTTCTGGGTCACATCAGTGATGTGCGTTCCTCGTACTCCCACCAGCTTCCAACCCCATGACTTCCGTATGCCAGCAGCTTTTGTCACCAAACCGTGGGGACAGCAACGGACACGCATGACTGACGGTTGGGTAATATATGGAGCGATGATGAACTACATATAAAAAACCTTGGGATATTTGTCCAGCCAAGGTTGCCTATGACATGAATCGCCGAGTACGCTGCGCCATAGATCAGCTTACTAACTATTTATTTTTGAAGCTATCTCGGTCTATCTTGAAGAGCTCCACACTACCTGTGCCATAATACCGAAGTCGCGTCCACGGGAAGTGGTCTGTATACCCTCACATTCATTTCAATACATATATTCCGGTTGGTTGTGCATCCGAACTACTCGGCGCATGCCAATAGTGCTTGCAGCTTTTGTGAACCGATCAACAGGAGACTGCATCGACGACGAGCTGAAACTCCTATCCGTTGTTCCCTTCATTTATCACTAGGCGTTTCAAACTTAACATATAGAACTAGATAAGATACCGCAGCTGATCAAAGAACTTCGAAAAGTATAGGTAGGTGGGTCGACCCCGCCTCATTAGCAGGTTTCTCGGTTCATTCACTACGTGCAGTCAATGGATAATTACCCCCAACAACCCATATGTAGCTATTGCTGCGGTGGCTTTAAAGCGCGTTTGAAGCATGGCAACTAGGTGTTAATCAGCAGGCCTAGTTCGACCTCCTTTGTTATGAGTGATAGCAGTGAGCCTTTGTTTCTAAATCGATCAGTCTATGTTTCTCATTTAAGTAGTGCTGAATTAGTCTAGTGATTATTTCGACTAGTTGCAAGACTACCAACTTCAGTAACGGAGGAATGTAATCCTTCCTAAGGGAACTGTGAGTGCGCAAAGATAGCAGCTAATTTAACGTTATGCCAACAATGAAGAATTAGGTAGGTCCTCTAAGCGACTGCGCACGAGAAGCGGAAAACGCATTCATGGTCTCCGCTCTCTGGTAGGTAGGGAAATATTGCAGCCGCAAAGCGCTGACCGCTTCTTTCACCGATTGTGTTTCCATCAAAATTAGTCAATTGTGTGCTTTCTTAATGGGGTTTGCCAACCTCGTCGCTATTTGCGTACAGGAATTCACGGTCATAACAAATATCTCCTATTGGTACTTACTGAAATGTTACCTTGTTTTAACAACTCAGAGGTGCGCAGTTGTCTAGCCGAAGTACACATTCGATGTGGCTTCTTAGATTGGAAGAGCGTCGATAAACACACTATACCGGATTCCTGCACTAATACCATAGCTTTCTATTGATCAAAAACTAACATTTGGAGAAGCCTACAAATGGCCATTAGCTCCGCGGTTATGGAAACCTGTTCGATTATACGAACTATGCGTTTCACTGCACAACGGAAGCAATCAGCCAAAAGTATCCAGGTCGTCCTATCAACGGCTGGGGGTAGCGCGTCGCAGTGCGCGGCATATACGTTTGTCTGTTCTTCTGTCCGGGAGATGCTGCATAATAATGCTAATCAAACAAAGAGCGCACTGCAACCCAAAGAAAGGCTCACAAAAATATATCAATACATTTTCCCCAGCTTACGCATAAAGGCAGCAGCATTTTTGAAAGTTTACTCAGTAAGCCTACAGGTAAGCCCCTCGGATGTCAAAAGCCGTTGACTAGGAGCACATGAATGATGTAAATTTGTGCCGACCGATGAGCGTCCGGCACCTAATCGTTTTTTGGGGGGAATTGCCAAATCTCGGTAGGAATGCAATCTGTTTCGGTCGCACTTGCGCCTGCGGTATGTAGTCCATCGGTAGACTTCTCAGTGGCTATTTGTCTTAGCGCGGCGGTTTCTGAATCGCGATTTATGTTATCTTGAGACGCGGGTGGTGTATTTGCCTCGAGAACAGCAAGTGGCTGCTGCTCTCTAACTGCTGTCTTCAGTCGTAGTTTCGTAGTAAGTTTGTTGCGTAGTAACTGTTAGCTACTGATTAAATTCATGACCGTCTGTTGTGATTGTACCGTTAGTTTCAGGATCCTCGGGCCACTGTCTCTGTAGTTTGGCGACACGGGTAATCGTGTAATCTACTGAAGTATGACGTCCCTCGCACAGAGACCTTCATGGTTGTAACGCCATTCCTCCAAGTCATGAGCGTGGGCTTCTTCGTTGTTGGTTGTCGGTAGCTCGGGCACGCCAAGAACGAAAACAATGCCATTGCTATTCTCTGTATGGTAGTAGTCTGAATTATTTTTGTCCCGTTGGCATTCGCTCCATGGCACATCCGGAGATACGCGTATTCCACTGTTCTCATTCCGCAGGTGGTATGCCGACAAAAGCACCGTTTCGACATCATCTAGTGACCCGGATGTTACTCGCATTAGCCGGGGATCCCCATAATGATTAGAGGTTTTAATTTCTAATGATGAGCGTTATATTAGTCGGGCTGGCTTGAACTATTTTATCGCAAAGGAAATTCCATTGCTTTAGACCATCTATCTGTTTATCACCTAAGCATTTGGCCTTGGACTCTGGAACGTTGGTGCATATAAGTGCCAAGGTCCTGCAGTTCCATCTGCTCTTTAGTGAGGTGGGAAGCACGGTTATCGAAGGATTTAGTGACGTCTGTGAAGGTTGCACATGATCCTTGACTTGTTTGGCGGTTGTACCGAATAAGACTACTGAGGTCGCACTTCGATTATACCGAGCAGCCACGGTTGCATAGATGGATCGGTCTGTAGATGGTTTCGGATTTTGTTGGTCATTTGGAAGCGTGGGTGTTACCCATGTTGAATCAGTAGATACAATGTATAAGAGAATGTGGGCAATGGGGCTAAACATGCTTCTATCGGTCGCCATGACGACTTAGTTCGTGGTTTCCAATGTTTCTAGTACTGTGGGGTCCTTTTCCTTGATTTCGGGGCAGCAATTGAGGGAGACGAATGAAGCGCTGATGCGCTATTGTCACCCCGAGTAGAGCAATTTTGCATTCAAACGATGTTCAGTTCGGCGACTAGGCTGTCGTACTTTTACGTCAACGCTATTCCGCATTTTACTAGTGGAATCCTCGTGCACTTCGGGCAGAACTAAAGTGAATCCGGCATATAGTATTTCCGTACGTTGGTTCTACAGACACTGACGCATTTCGAATGGTACCGGTCTTGGCAACTTGTACAAGTCAAGCCTACTTTTACTACAGCACAAGTTTGATTAGCACAAAATACCTCGTTCTGGGTTACCGGTGTGGTGGTTATGATGGCCGATTACTGTAGAACAAATCCAAGATGGCGGACACAGACGGCAGTTGGGCAAATCAATGAGCACTCCAAAATTAGCCAGAGAACATCCACCAACTTTGTACAGCTTGAAAAATACACCGAAAAACATATTTATCTACAACTCACACAGAAAAATGACGAATAACAGAGTAGTCCGGAAGGAAAAGCAGTATGCAGCACAATAACCTAAAAATCCGCGGCTTCCGTGGGTACATCCATTAGAGGATGTGTACATAACTGCTTAGATTTGCATACTTGATACATAACGATTAAACAGGACAAAAACATTAAAAAATTGTGTGTGCAAAATAATAAAGCAACGCTCCGTATTTTTCTATTACTTCACAATAGCTAAAGTATGTTGCTCACCTTCAGTTAATGTGCCATAATGCGTTCACGGTGTTCAGCCTGTCTTTTAGTGATGCCCATGGTTAGGTTTGGCTCTATGTCTATTTGATAGCTATTTAATTACTACCAGTACTACTACTGTTACTAATACTGCTACTACCCTTACTGCTGCTACTACTACTACTACTACTATTAATACTGCTACTAATACTCGTACTAATACTAATACTGCTATTACTACTACTACTATTACTACTGCTACTACTACTACTACTATACCGCTAACCACCACCACTACTACTACTATCACTTCTAATGTCTTTCCTCATTGCTACTTGTGTTTCCACAGACTTAATTTACACACTTTAATCCAACGCTAACTCTACGACAGGGTGTACTCTTTCCAACTCAGAACATGCATTATGTAGGTCGAATTCGTTCGTCTTTTTCCGATCGAATAAGAGGCACAGTTTCCTGGTTCCCCGAGTAGCTGGGTCCGAAAACTTAGGGAATTAATAACTTGAGGGTGTAAATGTCTCGTCCCTAATTTGCTATTTTTGATACCTATCTGTTCCTAGTACACAGTTGCTTGGTCAGCTCCGTGCATCCGGCTTCGTAAAAGCCAGAGGCTGTGGGGATATCCGAGATCTCAACACAAACTCTGAGAATTGGGCCGTGGTAAAAGCCGCAATCGTTTCCGGAATGTACCCCAACTTTGCTCGCGTGGACAAAGAAAGAGAACGTTTGGAGAGAATAGCCTGCAGAACGAATGAGTCGGTAATGAAGTCTGCATCCTTCTTGATTCTTCCATTACAAATGAAACGCTGCAATAGAAACTTTTGGGCCTTTGTGCATGTAGTAGTGACAGATTTAAGGTATTATAATTTATTAAGCAGTTAGCCGAAATATGTCGTCTTTTCTCCTCGAGACGAGCGGAGCTACCGTGGCCTGGGCTGTCATTTTGCCTATTCACTACCATATTGTTTCAATTAGCTTCAATTTGTTTGTGTTTACCCAGATCATGTCACAGCAGCTGTGCACATGTAGAGACGGTCGGTTGTAATCACTAAATGTTTACTTATCATCTGACACCTTTATCAACTTTCGCTGATTGACTCTCGGTTTGGAGACAAACTGCCGTTCAGTAGGGTGCATGAATGTTGCTTAGTACGCCACCAGCAATCAAACAGTGGTAGAAACCCATTGACATAATTTCCTTCAGGGATACTCCATTACCTGCTGGCCGCAGAAGTCTGATGCAACCACTTATTGAACTATGTTTCATCTAACTGTTGTGCATTGGTTGACAATGAGGTAATCATCCAACATGAGATGTTCTAGCATACCTGAATGTTAGATTCACCAGCTGCCTCCATCTTTGGATCCGTCAGAAAGTATCTACGAAAATAGAGACACATGACCTCTGGATGTCCCTTAGCAAAACCACCAATATTTGTCACTTCAGGAAAGGTTATACTTTTTTACTTTTGCTATACACATAAGTTGAAGAATCACCTTTGGATAATAAAACTGATGACATGAGTAGGTAGCACTTGATACTTCCAGGCTGGTCGTGTATAATAGGGGGCCCCGTGGTCATGGAATATGTTTGCATTTGCAAATTGCCAAAGAAATCTTATTTATAATATAGTTCTGGTAGTGCCAATGAGGGATGATACAAAATTCGCGTTGAGAACATATTGGGAAACAGACTAGAGTTTACAACAATTAACCCGCGTTACATAAAACCTTTAGCGACGCCTGAGGCTTGCAGACAACCTAACGGTGTTATGAGGCTCACATGGACAGGCTCTGACTTCCAACACTGAACCTGCCTTCGCGTTGGCGGCTCACTTTGCTGCCGTATTTACAGGTGCACACGCGTGTATGTCGTATTCGACTTGTGAATCTCCTGCGGAACTAGATTGCCTGGATTGGGCTGTGGAAGCTGTCCGAATTCTACTCACCAGTCTTGACGGCATGTAGCCTGCCTGACCCGACAGCCTCCATCCGTTAATTTCAAAGTCCCTATCGGCCATCACCTCACATTCTGTGAATAATCTGTTCCACAGACCACTGTCTGAAGGTACATTGCCGAACGACAGGAAATACTCGGTAGTGTAGCCGATTCCTAAGGACGGTGATGGGACTAATGTGGATAATTACCGACTGATGTGTCCGACCTCTGTTTTGGCAAAAGTGCTGGAGAAGATTGTGAGAAAGGGTCTTTTCCAGCTGTTAGGGTCGAAAGGCCTAGCACCCATACAGCACGGTTCCATGAAGGCACGCTCTTGCATCAACAACCTACTGTTGACATGTCACAGATGGCTGCAGGCGTTGAACCGGGGGAACTCAGTAGATCTTATCTACGTTGATTTCAGTAAAGCTTTCAATAAAATAAACTACTTGGTCCTCCTGCAGGAACTAAGGATGGGTGGTGTTGAGGAGGCACTGCACGAGCGAACCAATGACTACCTAATTCGGAGGAAATGGCGGGTACAGGTGGGTGACCACATAACAGAACGGTACCCGTCCATTAGCGGCATATCCCAAGGCACAATACTGGGCCCAAATTTTTCCTGATCCACATCAAGGAAGTTCCTCATCTACTTCGGCCGCCCTGTGCAGAAGTTGCGGACGACCTGAAGATCCGGAGGGTTGCTGATTCTCCCGACGCCTGCGACGTCCTACAGCAGGACTTCGACCGCCCATCTCTATTGTTTATAGAAGGTGATCTACCGGTAAAACCGAGCAAGTTGTCATTTATGATTCTGGGGAAGAATAGTAATGGGCCTATGTACACCCTAGCCGGCTACTCGCTGCATCACACCAGTTCCGTAAAGGATCTAGGCATACTCTTACGCTGTGGTCTGAGGAGTGAAGACAGCACAAGCAGACCGCACGGAAACGGAATACACCTGCTTTGAGCGCTTAGAAGCAGCTTCTGCACTTAGTCTGAAGAGAATGTCACTGGCCTCTTTTCCTCCATAATAAGACCGGTGCATGATTACTGCTCACACGCCTATTGTCTGATCACAATAGGTGAGGTGCAGAAACTGGAAGGGGTCCAGCATGTAGCTACCTAGCTCATCCCCAGTTTACCGTGTATGTCTTACGGGGACCGATGTAGGAGACTAGGGCTGTATACTCTGTCATATCGTCGGCTTCGAGTTGATCACATAATGATTCACCGGATATTTCACCTAGGCCACTCGCCTATGTTGAGGTCGTTGCTGCTCTTTCGCGCATCAAGCTGTGCACACGGACATCGGTACAAATTGTTGCTACCTGGTTTGAAGCTTATCCCTCACCTTCTATGCTTCGAGCGTCGAGTGGTGAAATATTGGAACCATTTGCCAGAAATGCTAGTCGAGACGAAATTGGTTTCAGAATTCGAGAGATTTCTCACGCCCACTTTGCCAAGCACAGGTATAGGGCGTGTATCGCACCCGGATTAAACGTAGGGCAGCTGTGATATGCTGCCGCCGCGCAGGATCAGCCAGGTGATATCGCACAGTTGCCCGATCAAATCACGACAGAGCAACATGGATCTATGTCTTCTCGCTCTCTACTTTCAGTATTCAGTATTAGCAATATGATGTTATGTTTGCCTCACGGATGACAAATATTCTTATACGACATCGGTACAAGAAATGGGTCGGCTGATACCGTCAGAGCATCAGTTATGATTATGACAAATTGCCTGACATAGCCGAAATGAATGTATTACCAATACTTGTGGTGACTACCCCAGTTTCCAGCAACCATGTATTACCAATGACGGAACATTATCATTGCAAAAGTTGATTCTTAGTGCGTAATGTTGAAAGTACATAAATTATTCGTAATGTAAATATGTGAGTAACAGAGAGGGGTAAGGAATGGTGCCGTGTGTAAATGGACACCATACTGTGCCACTATTTTTGCGGTTTTCTGATTTACTAAGATGCATCCGCTTTTGATGTTGTCGTGGGAGCGAAGTACGATTCGCCATACAAGTGCTGGGTGGTCTGCTAGGTATTTTACCCATGAAAACTCTGGACAATGAGTTGGTTGGGCTCGATACAAGTAAATCCTGAATTTCGATATCCCTAAATCTGTCACCAGAAAGCATACGCTCTACTTCACAGTTCGAGCAGTTGATGCCAACGTTACGGAGGTCCCTGAGCTTGAAAGCTAATCTTTCTGCGGCTGTTGGTTAGTGATGATTCAGATATAGATGTTCGGCAAGTTGCAGTTTTTGAAGTTGGACCAGGTTTTACAAAACATCTGCCTCAGTTTCAGTTGTCGTATTCTTTCTGCACGGATTACAGCATCGTGCCTCTCCTAACTGTTTGGTAATTTTGTGTACAACATACGCCTTACTGTCGATGATCCCGATTGGCTAGATGAAGCTAGCTTGTACCAACTCAGTGTGAAGTTGCATTCCTTGATCGATGGTACAGACTCTGAGAGGTAAAAGAGTTCTTTGAGTGTTGTTAACGGAACTGGTGTTAGATTGTGCCAAAAGCCACCTAGAAGATTTTGACTACCTTGAGGTGAAGTGCTTTCCCTTGATATCTGAAAGAAGATTTACCAAACCCAAAGTAACAACGGTAGGCATGGTGGTGAACAAATGTGGTTAAAACGATTCTTTGCACTGGAAAAAGGGGTACCTAAGTGCATTTGCGAATAACAGGAATCCGTAAGACTACACCTCGAAGGTGGGCCACAACAACTAGCTTGCGGCGAAACACTTTACTCCGATTACATTCAGGACAACTTTTGTGACTAGAATAGTGTGTCAGATGAAGCAGGCGGATCAGTGACACCGACGAGGCAGCCACTCACATGAGAACCGTACGGCCAAGACTTTTGTGTGCACTGTGCTCTGCTGATAGGATGAGGATCACAGATCGTTGTTTAGCAGGATAAAGGAGAGAAAACTCTTTGTGGAACCACGTCGTTGAGATTAATGGCCGGACAATATGGATGAAAACGCTGCTCGAGCAAGTTATAGTATGTTTGTACTGCTTGGTTTTCCCTAGTGCACAGTTTGTTCCTGAATGACTGATTTTCGTGATAAATTTGCACACAAATACTAAAGACGTTATTAAAATATTTTCCGTTAATCGTTTCACTCTATATCTAACAAGGGCTCTTCCATAATCGATGACCATTGAATATGCTGATGACCTGGCAGACCAGGAGGTATAAGCCGATACGTCGCACTACGACACCAACAGAGCAAGTGTTTACCAATTAAAGCGGCAGGTCTCATCGACAAATAGCCAAAACAAACCTTGGTACCATCCGGAATTTAAGAGCCGCAGCTATGCAGATAAAAGCAATGCTGAGCAACGGTTTCGATTTCGCCCACTTTCGCTTTGGTTTTGTTGCGTATCATTGTAGATTTGCTAGCCCATGTTCTGGGCGAGAGTTGGCTATAAGCCACAAGGAGACCTGTTTACATAGGGCCGGTCAGCTTAGGAAAAGAGCATAACCGTATCGGTCATTAGGTAATGCTTTTCTTGTAGTGTGGTGAATCAAATTCGCTAACCTGTAACGATGTGATGGAAAAACGACCTGTTCCGCATCAAACAAGTCCCAGCGTACCGTTTCCAATAAGCTACGCACAAGCTAGCTTCCAGCTGGAAGTTCAAAAATTGTTCACGATATGCCATCGCTGTCAAGCAACTGATTGCAAACTAAAGTCTTATTCCTGGGTCTTGGTCTCAGAACCCTAATCCGTCAAATACATGAAGCCCGTTGAGGCAAACCTTGAGTTTAGATAAACA